GCCTTGCTCTTTCCCTCATCAGCAGTCCCCAGGACTTCTGCTCAAGGTTTCTCGAAATGTGAGCCCCCACAGTTCACCTGGGGCAGTTGGTAAAAATGCCTATTCCTGGGCCCTGTTCCTCTATATTAAACTGTGGGGACTGACATTTTTGACAAGAAACTGCAGTGATTCACATGCACTCTAAAGCTTCCAGCTACAGCAGGTCCCCCTGGACTGGAGTGGGACTAACACATCTGTGTTTTCAAATAGCACTCCAGATGATGTTGGATGCTCTCTGCAGGGAGAGTATTCGAGTCAGTGGTTCTCACAGTGTGGTCCTGGCACCGGAAGCATCAGCATCCCCTGGGAACTTTCAGAAATTCACATTCTCAGGCTCCACACCATCCCTGAGTAAAAACCTCCAGGACACAGCCTGGCAACCCATGTTTCCACAAGCCCAGCAGATGATTTGGACGCTGCTTGTGTTTAAAAAAAGTCTCAAAATATCTCCCTGAATGTCATTCCCTGACACTTTATAAACAGGCATTGACACTCCTGAACATTTTGTTTCCCCAGGAGCTTCAGAAGGCCTGGAGGAGTCACAGGTCTCAAAGATCTGCCAGTGGCACTGCACATGCACCCCCGGTTTTGGTACTGGAGCGGTCATGAGATGTCCGGATTCAGGAGGGAGGAAGAAGTCTTTCTGGGAATATTTAAAAAATGGCCACTTTTATAAAGAATATTTAATTGTGTTCTTTGTACTCTCCATATTTTTTTAGACATTAAGCAATTTGGATCAGGAAAAAACTCAATACACATCCCTAGAAAGTAAAAGCAATCAGCAAAAAGTAATTTGGAAATGCAGTCAGCTTGGTGTGGCATTGGCTACAAAAGTACCCAGAGCAGGTCAGGTGCTTCCAATTTCCTGTGTTTTTCAAGGGTCGTTGGTTGGGAGCTGATGACCAAAACCAGGAAGAATTTTGTGGGGTTAATAATTATTTTTGTACACGATTTTGGCTTTTTCTGAGCAAGAGACAGGTACCTGTTTTGTTGTTTGAAGGTGTGGTTTCCTAGAAGCTGCTGGCTGTTACTATTTGCTGCTTTCAGGAGCAACGACTCACCATTCTATTTTTCTAACCTCTGCAGTAGTGATGCTTTCTCCTTTCTCCTTTTCCATGCCTTGCCCCCATACTCCGAAGCAAGTGATTTATCCAGTTTACCTTATGTTTGGGAAAGAGATCATTGTATTCTTCTTTCTAGATACACATATTTCCCATTGTATGGCTTTCCCTCCCATTGTCCCACCTGGGGAAAGAGATTCCCAACTTCAAGTTTCAGACTGCTCTTCCATTATGCCACAGTGATCTGCTCCCAGTCCAGCTGCCCGCGTCTGGTCACCCCAGACCCCCCAAGGGGCTGAGTGTTAGTTCTAAGTCGGGTTGTGGAAACAGAGCTCTCCACTTTTTCTCTTCTCACTTCTTACTTTTCCTGCAAAGTTATCTTTTACTATCTCTTATTTGTAACTCACTTACCCTATGTGTTCTACTTGTGGCTTAATTCACAGTGATCTTCTCTCATGTAAGTTATTTATTTTTTCTTTATTGAAAATGTCACTGGATAGAAGTACTATGTACAAAGTAAACTTAATGTTAATTTCATTATTTCTCATACTTCCCAATCATGAAAACACAGTGTTGGATAGCTTTATCTGTAGATAAAGTGTCTCAGCATCTCCATCTGAAAACTTAGAATTTACCCCTGGTAGTAGAGTAAATGAGGCACCACAGCTGTGGATAAGGAGTCGAGCTGACAGTCAAACTCACCAGACGTGAGTGGGCTTTAATCTAAGATACTCACCATTTTGCTTTAGAGAAGGATATGGAGCAGGAGACACAACAGGTACAGATCTTCATTTCATAGGAAGATCAGCGGTTGCTCAACTATATGATTTCCTTTGTTCCTTCAACTACAAAAGGTGTGTGACTGCTACAGACGAGGGCCAGAGGAAATGTCCCACTGATCATTTATACTGGTCTCATCCTGGAGACCCAAGGCTGGCACACCAGGACCAGTCCCACCCAGCAAGCGAAGCAGAGACAGCATCACGTGTATAGCCTAACTCTGTAGTTTTTAAGGAAATGGTGCTGGGAGGAGGAAATGAAGATTGTGTCCAGATAGGCCTGCACAAGCCTGATCTGATGTCAATTCTTCACTCAAAGCTGTTACAACTTCATCTGAACGATCACATTGCATCTCCCAGGGGTGTTCCAGGGGGTACTTATTAGTTTATTAAGAGACTATGCACAAATTTTCTCTGAGTGTCCTCTAGAACTAAAATTTTTGTCTGAATCTTTTTGGGGGGTGTTCTTTCAACAGTGTCTGTAGGATGTACTTCTTCTATGCTCTGGGCTGTGGTTGAACTGACTCTCCTTGGTCAAGATCACTTTTTGCATTCTGACACAATGTCTCTGGGAATTGGCTGTCCTGTAAGCAACATAATCCCTAAGAAGGGATATGAGTTTAAATACTTGGTCACTGAGTATGGGATTCAGAAAGAGGTAAGAGCTGTGGCCATTTCAAATAACAACCTAACCCCTGAATGTCAGCCTGATCTTAGCTTGCGATGGTGCTGTGCTTAGAGTCAGTGCAAGATAGGTGCAGTCAAGGCCAAACATGAAGAGCCTGCTCATTTTCATAACACTTGAATTTGGTACTTTTAGGATAAAGACCAATGGGACCCAGGATTTGATCTTGAAGAGCTCATGGTGCATTAGGGAAGAATACACTGATTTTTCAAGTAAAAATTTTAAGTAAATTTACCATTTTGTGTTGGGCTGCATGCATAGCCATCCTGGGCCTCATGTGGCCCGTAGACCGTTTGACACCCTTGGTAGACCCTGACTTGGTGTTTTCTTGATGCTCTCTGAAAAGACTTTAGTATAAAGATCTTACATCTTGATGTGATCTGTTCCTTGTCCAGATTTCATTAAAACCCCTGTGTGAGGTGATATTAAAAAGGTGCCCCATTAGGTTTTCTTCCACATAGTGATCTTTTATTCAGCTCTCCACTATACCATCATTCACAAAGGAGTCACTGGAAGAATTCCCTTAATGTGCTTTGTCTCCAGGTGAGTTTAATGGACTGACTGGTTCACAGTTTGTTTTCTAAGAACTGCTTGTTAAAAGTTAAACATTTGGAAAGTGAAGCTCAGCTGGGAGGGAGTCCTGGCATGATGCTGGTTTGAACAATTGGGTGGGTGTGATTATACTATTTATAATACTGCAACCTGGTTTTCTTCTAAACACACATACAAATGTCACCTAAGAAGAGGCATATCCCAAACTCAGGACCACTTCTGTTCAGAGAACACGGAAAAGATTTCAGTTTAATTTTGGATTTGATGGTGGTATGGGACTAGTAGTCAAAGCACCTCCTGCTTTCATGGTCTTGGAATAAGCCCATCTCTGTGTTGTCCATCAGGGCCCCTGTTGGTAAATTGGGAACATTCCCTGGGGTCTTTACCTCCCTTTCCCCTTGGAACTGAATAGTGTGGGTGAAACAGGAAAGTTTTCACCCTTTTACTCTAACTTCATTTGTTTCCAGCAGTTCTTCGATTTATTCTAACCAGTCACAAAGAAATTAGCTAGATTCCCAGGCTGTGTCATTTAGGACAACTAGGGTTAACCTTGGACTCCAGGCACTAAACCACTAATGGCAATGGACACTTCCATATACAAGTTGTGCCGGTGGTGAGGTGTCACATAGCACAGTGCATTAGGAAATAGCAGATAACCCATTAGAAGAAAAGCCATTTTATTATAACTCCTTATTAAGTTAAAAACAGAGGCAGACCCTTCTAAATGAAGAATCATAAAACAACAAAGTTCATCCCATTAAAAATCAAATCATCTAAAACATTAAAAAGTTTAAGATGACAAACAGGACCCCGAGGCAGCACTCCAGCTTCTAACACACCATCCTCCTTGTCACAGCTATGGGGACAGTATCTGCTTCTGAATTCCCAGGTGGAGAAAGATGAGCTGAGTGGGTGTTTTAAGTGGCAAAAATAATTATAGCTCTGCAAAGAGAAAAAGGATAAGCATCTTCACAGTGTAGCTTTTTTTTTTTTTTTTGTCTCAGAGGCCCTAGTGTTCCTGAGCCCCAGGGAGGAGTGGAGGAGGAGAGCAAAGAGATAATGTTTTGGATCATGTTCTAAAAGTATTAATACAACTTGTATATGTCTAGCAATATAAGTATTTTTACTTTTCTTAACCATAAAATATACCAGATATGTAATATATATCTGATTTAATATAGCGTCTGTAACACACCTCAGATTTTAAAGAGTGCTTACCATCTCTCTAGTGTACAGCTCCTCCCCTCCAGAGAGAGCTACATCCAAGGTCATAATATACATATTTATATACATTAGAATTTCCCCTCTCACTGCCCAGGAAGGGAAAGCCATACAATTTAGGAAATATGCACCATGGCAGTCAGGCATTTAATCCCTTAGGGACAGAGTCTAAAATATTCCTGAGTGCCTATTACTGTGGATTATCTCTACCTTATCAAAGTCCACATTCTATGGTTTGGTATCAATTTTACAACATTTCTATTCAATACTCTATTGATGTCAACTTTGGTAAAAATGTTTCACCTACTGCCTCCTCCTCCATGGCTCCTGAGAGACAATCTGAGTCAATGTGGTTAAAGCCAGTTAACATGCTGATCAATGCCAGACAAACAAGGGGCTGCTAAAAAGACCAACACCTGTAGTGAGGAAGGAGTGCCTTAACCGGCCTTCTCTGAATTGGAAGTGCAGGTGTTTATACAATTTCCTTGTAAAAGACCTTGTTGTTCCCTGTTATACGTTCGAACCGAGTTAGTCTACATACTTTAAGTAAGCTCACCTCAACTTCCTGGTCGATTGGCTTTCCAATGTATAAATTTGCTATTCCTGATCTTTTGGGGGGACCACCTTGTTTATTTGCATCATTTCCTATGCTTATTCTTATAGGAGCTGGATGGCTAGAGAAAGAGAAAAGAAGATACAGAGGAATGGGATTAATATCTGTGCAAGTCCTGGTGATTGAAGTTCAGTACCTCAACCTGTGGTGTCATCCTGTCCTCACTTTAGAAAACGAGTTAATAGTTCAACAACAATAACAATAACAACAACAACAAAATTAAACTGATGAGTAAAATAGAACCAGAGGCATGGAAACATGGAACAGACTGAAAGTGACCAGAAGGGAGTGGGGAGGGGCATAATGGTGGAAAGAAGGGAAGGCACTAGTCAAAGAACATGTATAAATGTCCCACGGACATGGACAATGGTGCAGGGATTTACTGTGGAAGTGGGGGTGGGCTGGGCAGAGGATGGGAAAGGGGGAAAATTGGAACAACTGTAATATAGTGACAACAAAAAAATTTAAAAAATGAGTTAATAGTTTAACAATTGAACCTAGGAAGCTTCATATAGGGAAGGGTCTCCCAAATATATCACCAGATTGCTATTACCTGATCAGATATCATTACTTAAAATTGGATGATCTTAAGCCATCTATCAAAGGCAGGGTCTAAATGAGCCAGTAAGAATCCTATTATCATCAATCATGGATAAAGTTAAAATATTTAACATTAAAGTAGTTAAAACTAGTATTCTAATAAACCTCTTTCCCTAGTTTATGAATTTATAGTGATCGGTCTACTATCATTGATTCAATTAGGACCTCAAATATTCTCAGTGGGTCTTGGCTAAGAAATAAGAGAGAGAATTTGTAACATGAACACTATAATGAGAACAAGATGATTTCTCAGTCTAAGAGTTACTACATATATGGCGAAATGAGACCTACTAGTTGTATACACAGCTTTATACCACAATGAAGAGAAGTAACTGATGCGATGAGGGCACCAGCCACTACACACATTTTATGAGTCCAGCACTGTTTAATCTCTTTACATGCATTATGTCATTCACTTCTTACCACAAGTCTGTGAAATAGGCACTATTCTCTCCACTTTAAAGGTGGGGAATCTGAGGCACAGAATAAATAACTTCCTTAAAGTCACACTGGTAATAAGTAGCAGAGCTGAGAGATCAGGGACACAGAACAATATGGCACCAAGAGAGTCAGAGTCTCACGAAGGCTTGGTCAACATTGTATTCATCTCTAGGCTTCAGCTCACTTCTCCTCCTCTAACCAGTAAAGACAGTGGAGATGATATGACACTAGTTTGGTGGACTCACCGGGGGACAGCACAGGCCACAGGTATCGAAGCTTCAAGAATGGAGATCAGTGACAAAAAGATGATTTCAGTTATAAAAAGGAGATGATTCCTTGGGAGTGTCTGAGGAGACAAAGGAAATGTATAAGTTGACTTCAAGATTTTGTTAGGAATTACTTGGTTCAGTCAACATCTCTGAGAAATGGGCACACACATCTTACCAGGCATCTTACCAGGCCACACATCTAAAAGGCATCTTACCAGTGGGAAAGAGAGAGCCATTTTCTAAGAGGCTCTCTCTTAGAAGTTAATTCTAAGAAGAATTAACTTCTTAGAATTCTTAGAATGTTATAGGGTATGGTTCTCAGAAAGTGTGAGAACCTGCCACTTGAGTTTAAATAAAATTGCCTCAAATGATCATTTATATTATCAAGAAAACATTCATAATTTCTTCTTTTGAGAAACTTTTTTCCAGATTTTAGGCCTTAAGATACTGAGCATGACCTTAAAATAGTGAGATACATCTAGTTATAAGAATAGATTAATGTTCTTCATTTACTTCAATTTAAATAGATTTATGTTCTTCAGAAAAAAAACATTTTTTTAAGAAAATGTGAATGACATAGCATAAACAATGTGAAAATTTAATCTCATCATCTGGGGACCACCACAGTGAAGACTAGTGCATGTTTTCTTTGTTTACCCTCAATATTTATTTAATGACAGGGGAACTCTCCTATTAGCTTATTGAGCCCAGCCACTAACTCTCATCAGCCTCCTAATATTTTTTAGGAACATGAATATATTATTAAAATTTGTTTTTAAAAAAAGGCATTAAGCTTTTGTTCTTCAGTTTTTAAATAGAGAAGTTAACGGAAATGACACATTTCTCAGGGTTCCTTACTGGAAGTTGAATGGGGTGAGACTGGGTATGTGTGAAGGCAAAGCACCCAAGCTACCTGTGAGGCTTTCAAACTATCCATACCCTGAGTCAGACTGATGCCCTTATTCTCTCCATCCTGACCCCTGAATCAGGAAGGGGCACCAGGCTCTCCAGTGGGAGCTGAGATGTCAGGGGACAGGTCAGCTGGTCTCTTGAAGATGTCACTTGAAAATGTCAGATATGTCAACTACTTGAACTCTTTCTCCACTGGCCTGCAGCCAGGCAGCACTATAAAAATTTAGAGGTAAATGAAGCTCTGTGGTTAACTTTTTACAATGGGGCGGGATGGGCTATGTAGCTTCTGGCCCAGCTACTCAACCTTGCCCTCCTAGAATGAAAACAGCTGTGGACAATAAATAAGTAAATGAGCATGGTTGTGTTCCAATGAAGTTGAGTTAACGGACACTGAAATTTGAATTTTATACTTCTTAACCTATCACCAAATATTATTTTAAGCATTTAAGCACTTAAAAATCTATTCTTAGCTTATGGACCACATAAGTAGGTGGTGGGCCAGATCAGGCCTGCAGGCTGTAGTAATTCGATGACTCCATGTATTGAGAACAAAAAAATAAAACATGCCTATTCTTTTCTAAGAGTAAGATAAGTCCCATGTCTTATTTAATTAAATTTTGGGGGGAAAAAATCCTTACCTAGGATAATTTTTCCATTGCTTTTAGAGAGAGAGAGGAAGGGAGAGAGAGAAACCAGGGATGGAACCCACAACCCTTTGGTTATGGAATGATATTCCAACCAAGTGAACCTTACTGGCCAGGGTATATCTTATTTAGTTTTGCATTCTCTGGAGGGAGGTACAACTGACTGACAAGTGGAAACTGTGCATTTTTACCTTCCTCCACTGCTCATGGTCTGGATATAACATTTGGCAAAAATCAATTTGTCTTATTACTAGAATAACAAGAAACTAAAACAACAACAAAATATCCCCAAACCAAAACCATGGCACGCTGTATGTGAGCCTGAAAGTCTCTAAGAAGATTTAATTAGTGAGGCAGGTATATCATTACCTGAATCCTAATCTTACAATCAGTGGGATGGTATCGAAACTCATAAAATCCTTGATGTACCGAGGTTACAGGACAATGATCTCCTAGAAACACTTCTTCAGGGCCCACCGGTAGATCATTATCAAAAGCAGTTGACTTGACTCTGGCCAGGAACAGAGAGGGGCTGCACCGCACATACACTATTGCAAGGTAGAAAGTAGAATCTGTCAGATAATCCAATGGTACCATGGAAAGTCAGGGAAGCTCAAGGCCAGTTAACAAAAATGGCACATGCCCGCCCTTGCCCTCGGTAGAGGAAAACAGATTTGAGAGGTGATCGTTATAGTCTTACCTTCCCCCTTGAAGCACTCACTTGCCCTCCCACCTCTAAGAATCATCCAGGTGATCCTACACATGGATAAGCATGAACCCAAACAAGATCTTAGATGCCCCATTTTACAGTTCTAAGTGGAAGACATCTCCACTGTGGCATTTATGTTAGTAATTATGGGCAATGGTCAGCCAGCCCTCATTCCTAGCTTCAGCTCCTGAAAAGCACAACCTTTGTTCTAATCCTGGTATCTCTGTTTAATTTCGGTATTTTCTGAAGCAATACAGACATTGGATCAAACTAAAACTAACAAATTTGGAATATAAATCTAGTGATTATAGACAGGTTAACAGAGCATACTTTTCTAATACTTTTTTTTCTTTTACTACTAATTGTGACCTAATAATTATATGCTTTAAAATATTGCTCTCTTCACATGAGAAGGGAAGGTCCATGAGAATTAAGAGTTGGTTTGTTTATTTTTCATTGCTGCATTACTTAGAACCAAGAACAAGCCCACAACAAGCACTCAGTAAATATTTGTTAAGTAAATACATGAATAAAACTATTGCTCAGAAAGAGAGACACACTGGGCTGTGTTTTAGGAGACCTAAAACAGAGGGAAAACTTGGAGTTGTGATGAAGTTGAAATATTCCAGAGGTTGCTGATAAAAGATTGAAGAGTGTTTGTGACTTCAAGAAATATTATACCTCATCAAGCAGAAGACATTTGAAGCTATATTTTTAATCGAAGCATGAAAGTTTGCTAAAGATCAAGAAGCAGAGTGGTGAAATATAGGTTCTGGCAGTTAAATCCCAGAGTAATTTGGAACTGCTGGCAATTCAGATAATAAATTGGAAAATCTGAGAAGGAATTATGTGCTCTTTTAAAGGGCAGGCATAGAACCACTAGGAGCTTAACCTGTGGTGGAACTGATGAGCTTTTATGGGTAAACCATTCACTATAGTAAAGCCATCTTTAGCTGCCAGTAATTTCTAACCACTGGCGAATCTTGGTACTAGAATCATGAGAGTGACATGACTTAACACAAAATCATTGACCTGTCCATTCTTTCTATTTGGCTCATATGTGGTGGATAGACTAGGCATTCTTCCTTTACACAGAGATGAAGAGGGCATCTTGAGCATTAAGTCACTTGTTATTCTAGGCAGTGGAATTAAGAGTGCAAAGACCCTGGTTGGTGACTTCCAAAACCAGAAGGTGGCCAATGTGGTCACAGTGTAATGAACCATGGCGAGTATGGCATGGAGTAAATAGGATCTGATTTACGATTTGAGAAGCTTGTTCTGGTGGATAGGAGAAGAGTGGGAGCGGAATCAGGGAGATCAGTTCTAAGAATATTAAGTTAGACCAAGACTGGCTACTGGAGGCTTGGACTTGAGTTGTTGCAGAAGAGATAGTGAGAACCAGTGGGATTCTAGAAATATTGTGGATGCATGTGGATGTAGGACTGGGGAAGAAAAAGTGATAATTTGAAAGGAACCCAGATAGGCCCTGGCTGGGTAGCTCAGTTGGTTACAGCACTGTTTCAATACCCTAAGATTGTGAGTTCAAGCCTTGGTCAGGGCACATACAAGAATCAACCAATGAATACATCAATGAGTGGAACAACAAATCAACATTTCTCTCTCTCCCCACTCCCTTCCTGTCTATAAAATCAACAAATAAAAACAAAAATAAAACACCCTGAATAGATGATGCTGCTGTTAACTGAGATAAACAAAACTGAGGAAGGGTGGGCTTGAGATTTTTTTTAAAGTGCATGCATTTTATTTTAGATATAATAATTTAAAGATACATCTGAACATCCAAGTTAATATGCTGATAGCTAGTTAGAAGAGTTCAGATGAGATAATGTGTTAGTATAAGATCTCAGAGAATTTGACATATAGAAATTATCAACATGAA